AGGGGGGGATAGGAACAGAACTGGCCGAAGTGTGTGCTTGACGACCTGAAGGCATTCGGGGCCGACCACGGATCTACGAAAGCCGATCCATGCTGTTTCGGATTCCCGGTACCGAAAGACACGGCAACGATGTTAAAGTGGACGGAAGCCGCGAAGGTAGAGGGGGAAGTACCCTGGCATGCGGCGGTGCTGCAGGGAGCTGAGAGGTTCATGACCTCCTGGCACGAGAAGGAAGAAGAGGCCAGCCGACAACGGGGGCTCAAACGAAACCAGAAGCCACCAACCAATGGGGCGGGAGGGGGGCAGGAGACGGACGAGACGGCGAGGGAAGTAAGCAAACGAGAAGAGACGGAACGAGTGGCGCGACACGTGCCGGATTGAATTGATTTTAGCCAATTCCCCCCCCGCCAACGCTGCACCATTGCACCAACCCCCCACTAGTGATGACGTACCATTACAATGTATCGCTGGTTGGTGGCCATGTTTGCGTGTTTGCTTGTCGTTGGTGGTCTCTCCACCGTGTGCCTTTTCCTGTCTCTTATTTCTTGTTATTTTCGGCCTGGTCCCTGTTGGGAGAATTGTGTGCAAGAACTGACTCTATTCTACTGCAGGGTTTGGTGCAGTATGGTGAAGGCGTGTATCCAAGTTTGTAACAGTCAGGTGAAGACAGCTTGGACGCCGATGTGTGAAATAATGATCACTCTGTGTTTCTCTACCCGAGCCTCTTGCGTCACATACGCCAACCACAACGTACAACAGCGGTGAGGTCCCGCTAGTACGCCCAACAGGTCATGCGCCTCGCGCGGTAGGGGAACTACGTTGAGTCAACATGGCGCAATCATTGAACCATCTCCAGAGGGGTTATGTGCCGTTCACCGGGGATCCGGCCCAATTCGAGGGTTGGGTCACGCTGACTCGGTCCCTCATGTCCGAAGCTGGACTGAGTAGGGTCATGTCGGGAGCGGAGATTGCTCCTGCGCCTTTGCCAGGGGGAGCGACCGACACTAAAATCGCGGGACACGAGAAAATTGCCCTAAAGTTCAGGGAAAAGAACGGAAAAGTGTAGTCTACACGAGACTGCTTCTGGCCACGACTGATGGCCCGGATGGATACTCCAGCCCTGCTTCGCAAGTGGTACAGCAGCATGGGCCAGTCGGTGACGAGGAGTATGGTGATGGACGAGGTGCGTTCGTTGCTCTCCAGCAGAAGTACCGTGTTGAGGGTGTATTTCGCATGCAACAGCTCCATGAGGAGCTTACTTCCGTGATGGTCACTGCAGCCGACAAATACGACCCGGCCCGAGCGATTCAACCGTTGCGCCGCATCTGCCTCGAACTGGACAAGTTAGGAGATAGAGTTGTGGAAACACGGAACGCAGGTGCCCTATTACGAGCCCTCCCTAATGGACAGTATGGCTCGTTCAAGAATGTCTTGATGAGCGAAAAGACAATCCTCGGAAGCGATGGTCTCGTATTCGAGGAGATAGCGCGCCATGCAACTTCGTACCATGCCATGCAAATTCGCGGAGAAATGTCTGACCATGGTGACGGTTCAGGCAGCCACGGCCGTGCGTTGAACACTGTCGCGCACGAAGGAGCACGTGGTCTCCGCAGGCGTGGCGGCCGTGGCGGCCGTGGTGGACGCAGCCGCCGAGGTAATGGCGGCCGAATTGCAGACGGTTCGACCAGTGGAAGTGGGTCGAACGGCAACAACAACAACAACGGAACGTCCGGAGGAGACAGCGCGTGAAATGCGCATGGCGGACGCGGGAATGATCGCAGGAGCCGAAACTCTGGAGGTCGTGGTCGGGCTCAGGATACCGGCCGCAACCGTCAAGGACGTTGCAGATACTGCCGTAACAGCACCGAGCACGGGTGGGACGAATGCCCGCTCCGCCGGAGGCACGAGGCGGAGGACAACAACACAGGACAGGTGCACAATACGCAAGACTCCACCACGCAGGCTTGGTACACGCGAGTGGAGGCGGCGGACGATGAGCTTGAAGATTTCGCCATCGTCTTCGATAACGACAAGCAGGAGCTGAACGCCTCTGCTGTGGCGTTGCCGAGGGAGCGCGCTGCTGTTGGTGACCAGGAGCAAGACACGGCTGCACCGGCGCTGCCGGACGGAGTCGTAACATATGATCCGCAAGTATGGGAGTGCGCTGCTGGAGATGAGCAGACGCACGATGTGCCCGAGTCGGCGCTGCCGAATGTACGCGCCACCGACGACCTGCAGGAATTCGCGGAGCCTGCGGCAGCGACGGACCTCGATGTCACTACCCCTCCTGACTCTCCGGCCGAGAAAGTGACAGAGCTGGTAAGGTACACTAGGGTGTTTCAAGTGGACAAGGAGTCGAAGGATGTCGGTGATACGACGCTCTAGTCTACATAGATACAGCGGCGTCGAGCCGTATGGTAGACGCTGAATCCCGCATGTCTAAGCGTATGTTCGACCCGGTGGACTGCGCCGTGCGTATCATCGGGTCGTGCGGAACATCTAGCGCTACCAAGAAAGGCACCCTGAAGTTTGGAATTCGTAGTGAGCATGGCAACACAGTGACTGTTAGATATACAGTAGGTGGCCCGATATAGTGGCAACCTGAATAGTAAAGTGCCCGATATAGTGGCATGAAAATCTCCTGGCAAAATCTCAACCCGATATAGTGGCACTTTACCACTATTGAGGACGGGGCCCTCAATAGTGGCATTTCGGGCATCACACACACGTACCCGGTCGCCCCGGTGGTCTAGTGGGTAGCCTCGCAGCCTGCTAAGGGCCAGGTCGTGGGTTCGAGTCCCGACAGAGAGAGTTTTTTTCTCACCAAGTAAATCCTGGTCTAGGATGAAAGCGACGCGCTGCAAAGCTCGTTTGTTTGTAAACCATAATCGACTTCGTAAGTCGCGAGGGAAGGGATTGCTGTACCCTTCTCGCGATAAAAATACCTCAGGCATGAACCGCAGGAGGGGGTCCAACCCCCCCTCCTATGTGACCCCGGTTGGGTCGTCTAGCTAGTAGAAGTGGAGGATAGGGGCCAGAGGGGCAGACGACAGAGTCCAATGATGGGAGAAAAACAAACAAAAACAAACAACAAAAACACCCAATAGTGGCAGTTCCAACAGAGTCCAATGATGGGAGAAAAACAAACAATAACAAACAACAAAAACACCCAATAGTGGCAGTTCCAACTAGTGGGCCCCCGACTATACTGCTGTACCACACCACCCCGACTATACTGCTGTACCACACCTGCCCACACAGCCTGGTCGGCGGGAACCCGGCACGGAACCCTCCGGCGTTGTAGGCGGGTGTGGGAAGCGTTCCCCGTTCTCCTTTTATTTTATTTTGATCGGTCTCCTCGACGCTCTTTCTCGTTTGGTGCGGTAGCTGGTCTTTCTTTCTATCATTTTGTTTCTCTTCCGAGTGGTTTTTGTACCCTATTTTTTTCTGTTTCTTCGTGGGGTCGTGTATGCCGGGTTTTGAGACCACGGGCTCCCAAGAGCTAATGTGAGAAACAACAAACAACAACAACAACTCTCAGTAGTGGGCGCCACACGTATCATGCTAGTCTGCGCGGACCAAGAACTGTGTAAACTCCCAAACCGACCACTGGGAGAGAAAGATGGGCACGAGTGTCGCCTTGGCTGCGGTGGCAGGCTTCATGGGATATGTGGTGAACCAGAGGAGGAGGGCGGCCAAGAAATACACCGCGTCTGCAACCCGTGCATCGCCAAGAAGCAGAAGACACCCGGCTCCTCGAAACAGCCTAAGCGTGCCTCGCCCGAATCCGAACTTGCCGGAGATGGCGCCGCGGCGAAAAAGACCANATTCTGAGAGTGCGGGGGGTGGTGGGAAGAAGGCGCCGCCGTCATTCGCGGAGCTGGCTGATTTTTTTGGTCCTCTAGAACAATACGCAGAGTCGTGTGGCATTGGTGACGCCGGGCACTTTCTCCGCAAGGCGAAAATGGCATTCTTGGCAG